AAGAGGAGGCTGGATGGAAAAGAGGATGAGAAGATGAGCTTTTGACAGATTCAGTGGACTAAGATGACAAAAATGATTAAAATGGACAAAAGAGGAGATAGAAAATCTGAATATTTGACTATTAAAGGAATTGAATCTGTAATTAAAAACCTTAACTCCAAAGAAATCTATGTTATGATGGCTTTAATGGAGAATGTCATTTAAAAAGATATGAGAGTACTGTTGTAGATTAAAATAGGTTAAAGGCATATAATAATCAGATGTAATGTATGATTCTTGACTTTGAATCAGAAAAAAATTACAGGTATTTTTGGGGCAATTGGGGAAATCTGAATATGGGCTGGACATCATTAGGTAATATTAGATCTCAGATGTGACAATGTTGTAGCTATGTAAGAGGATATCCTAAATCTCAGGGGAAGTATACTGCAGTATATATAATGAAATCTCACAAAAATTAAAATGTACAGTCAAATGGGCCAGCAAAAAAAAATAGACACATGATGTGTTTATGATACATACACTCAAATGTTTACAATGAGTGGATTAATAAATATGGGAAGAGTGTGATTCATTATAAAGTAATAAAAATTTAAAAATTACATGATTATTCAGTAAAGAAAAAGCATTTTATGAATATCTAACATCTATGATAAAAATTCTCAGTAAACTAGAAATAGAAGAGGATTTTGTTAATCTGATAAGCTGTAACTATAAAAACTGTAGAACAAACATACTTAATGGTACAAAGTTAAAAGCTTCCCTGAGACACGGAATTAGACACGAATGCCTATCACCACTTCTGTTTCTCACTGTATTAAAAATCCTTGCAAATGTAATATGGCAAGAAAAAGTAAGAGCACAAAGGCTGAAAAAAAAGAATGTTTGCCATTTTTCACATAACTGTACCTGTAGAAAATGAATTTAACAAGGTTAATATAAAAATTAATTTTATTTTTTACTTGCTAGAAGCACATTAAAAATCAAATTGATCTTTCTGTAACTTAATATACTTTACCTTTAATTTTATAAATTTTAATTTGTTTTACATGTAGAGAAGCATCAAAAACATCAAATACCTAGGAGTAAATTTAACAAAAAATAAGCAAGACTTCATGGAAAACTAAAATATTATTGAGAGAATTTAAAGACCTAAATAAACAGAGTGATATACCAAGGATTGGAAGATTCTCTATTATAATGATACAGTTTTTACCCAAATTGGTCTACAGATTCAGTGCTATTCCAAGCACAATCTTATGTTTGAGGGTGTGTGTGGGGGCTGGGGGAATTGACAAATCAATATGAAAATTATATGGAAATTCAAAGGCAAAGAATAGTCTGGTTAACTTTGAAAAATAAAGAGGGAGAACTTACTCTAGTAGATATTAAACCTTATAAAGATAAGTAGATAATGTGGTATTGGTCCACGAATAGGCAAAAGGACTAGTGTCACAGAATATAGCCCAGAAACAAACCTACAGATAGAAGTATACTTGATTTATAATGAAGGCCAAAAAGTGTGAAACAAGTCTGTTTTTTCAGTATGTGGTGCTGGGTCAACTGCACATACAGATGAAAAGAAGTATGTACTTTACAGATAATTTTAAGCAGCCTATATAATTAAGCATGACACACAAAACAACACATCTCCTAAAAGATGTAAAAGAGTATCTTTAGGATCTTGGTATATGGGAAAATTTATTAAACAGAAAACAAAAAATACAAAGGGAATGATTAAGTTGGACTGTAGTCAAATTAATACCTTCTATTCATTAAGAGTAAAAAGGCAAGCCATAGAGTGGGAGAATATAGCTTCAAGATTTGTAACCAAAAAGAGACCTTGTATCAAGAGTAAATATGAACTCCTATAAATCAATAAGGAAAGGACAGATAATCCTATATAAACATGAGAAAGAGCTTTGAACAAGGACTTCACAGGAGATAATTGCCCACTAGACATGAAAAGGGGTTCAGCTTCATTGGTAGTCAAAGAGATGCCCTTAGAATGGTTAAAACGAAAAAGACTTACATGCCCATTAGAATGGTTAAAGTGAAAAAGACTGACATACCTAAGGTTGTTAGGATCAAGAATATGGAACAAAAATTCTCATCTGCTGCTAGAGTTTAGATTGGTGCAACCACTTTGAGTAACTGTTTGACAGTGTCTACTATTACCAGCTATGGTTGGACAAGTGAAATTTTAAATCTTACAATATAAATATCTAATAAAATTGCTTGTACATACATGTATATCAAAAAGATGTACATTCATGGCAACATTTGTGATAGCCTTAATGTAGAAATAACCCAGTTGATTGTTCAAAATCATAAGCATGTAGACTACTTTATAGCCATAATGGATTACACTATGTATAACATTATAAGAGACTCTTATAATGTTGACAAAAGAAGCCAAACAGTACATACTATGATTCCATTAATGTAAAATTGAAAACTAGGCATGACCGGTCTCTGGTTTTAGAAGTCAGGATAATGGCTACTCTTGAGGAAGGAGTTAGTGACTAGGATTGACTATGAGGGAAGTTTCTGGAGAGCTCATAATGTTCTGATTCTGGAATTAGTTAACCAGATTATACAAGTTTGTTCATTTTTTGATAATTATTTGAGCTGTATTTGTACTGTATATTTTCTTGTTATATTCAGTAAAATAATTACTATGCTTTTTATATTAGATTAAAATGGAAATCTTTCAGATTGATAAAAGTAACACATGCTTGTATATTCATTAGCTTAAGATTTGGCTATCATGGTAAGAACTCCTATGTATCCTGCTCAGGCCCTGGTAACCAATATCATAAATATAATAAATAGATGTTTTTCATTCTCATGCCTATTTTTATATTTGTGTTAAATATTTATATATCCATAAATATATATTAGGAATATATTCATCTCAAATATCAAAACCTACTGTAGTGACAAAGAGATGAAGTGGGTTTATTTGTTTCATCTATCAAGTTTCCTATGTAGATCAGCAACTTGATAATAGTAGGGCTCAAGTCCGTGCTAATGATTAGGCTTTTTCTTCTCGTTTGTTGCCTTTTATTCACTAGATGTCTGCTCCACATCTAGGCATTATTATATCTGTGTACTTGAGGCAACTATATTTCTTGTACCACCGTTATTTGCCTTTCAGTTTCATAACTTTTTTTATAGTTTGGGATAATTTCAAATTATCAGTTAATATATGTGGGTATAAATTCAGTTCTGTGGTTACTAGTGGATAGCTAATATCACTAAACCTGTTTTCTCATCTATACTATGGCGATAACAGTTCTCACCTTCTGTGGTTGTTTTGATGTTAAGTAGTAATATAAAGTGCCTAGGGTTAACTAACACCTGATAAGTGGCTGTCAGTAAATAATTTTATTATAACTTAGATGTGCTAATAACCATTAGTAAACAAATAGTTGTTTCTGCGGGTTAAATGTTATGACAGATGTAATGTGTCCAGTGATGTACTGGTTCAAAGGGCAGGAAACTGCTTTGGTAAGTCAGAAATAAATTCATAGAGAAGGTAACATTGGACAGCAGTATATTGTGTTTTGAATGTTTCGGAGACAGAGGTGTTACATTTATGTCCATTTTACAAGAGAAATTAAAAAAATAAAAGCTGAATAACTTTACAAAAAGAGGACTTTGCAAATGTATCAGCTGTGTAAATAGGTAATTCATATTACCTGAGAATATAGCAAAACAATTGTAAATTAGAATGGATACTGGCTTGGCATAGTGGCTCACGCCTGTAATCCCAGAATTTTGGGAGGCCTAGGCAGGTGGATCGCTTGAGCTCAGGAGTTTGAGACTAGCTTGGACAACATGGCAAAACCCGATCTGTACAAAACCACAAAACAATTAGCCAGGCATGGTGGCGGATGTCTGTAGTCCCATCTACTCGGGAGACTGAGTTTGGAGGATAGCTTGAGCCCAGGAGACAGAGGTGGCAGTGAGCTAGGATCGTGCCACCACACTCCAGACTGGGTGACAGAGCCAGATCCTGTCTCCAAAAAAGGAAAAATAACAGTTCAGAGGTTCTTGAAATTTTGCTTTAGTTTATCAGTAGATTTTTTGTCATTAACACATTATGATTCCTTAAATATAAGAAAACTTAAAACTGCATTCCTTAGTAGAGGCATTTTAAAAGTGATACTTTTAAATAGTATTACAAGTATAATTTTACTAAGCATCTGATAAATGGATACAACACAGAAGTATATACTATAAATAATCTTTTTTGTTTGTTTTTCCTTGGATGTTAAAAAAATCTAAAATAGCAGTTAAATCTCAGTGAGCTATGTGTTTTAATTTTCTTGATGTTCAAAATGATGGTTTTATTATAAGGAAGCTTTTATATTAAGTCTAATTCAAATTTTTATGTTAGCTATTTGGTTGTTTGGGAAGTTACATCGTAATTTGATGCAGAATTTTATACTACTGGAAAGGTAATATAGTGGCTGGTTGCTGCCTTAAAGTTGCAAGTTGAGTATTCACATTTTGTAATGAATGTACATAAAATTAAATGGCTCTGTTTAAAACATAGGGAAATGCCTTGGACTGTTTTTAATCTTTTATACTACTACACCGTTTTTCTAAGAAATACCTTTCTTTCTTTGCTTTCCTTTATTCGCTCATCCCAAAGGCAACAGTTTTTATTGTAAATGTAGTCATAATTTTAACATTTAAGTAACTCCTTCAAATCACTATATTGATAATTTCTTGACTACTTTCTCTGTCTAATGCAAGGTATTGCTAAAGGTGCTTTGAATCACAGAAAGACTTATATACTCTAAAATACATGAGGCTCATTATACTAAATTACTTAGGCATTTTAAAATTATATCACAGAAATTGTTCATTTTCTTCCCCCAAAAGCCACATGGAAAATGCCTACCTCTGTTATGTCAAATGTTTGATAATTTTTTTCTCATTTGAAAGATGGTTTAATATTCTCCCCCTCAGAAAAACAAAAAAAGTACCTGGCTTGTTCTTGTAGCATCAGTATGTTATGTAATCTCTTCATATCTGAGTTTTTCTGTAAAAATGAGGAAAATATTAGCAAGATTTATGAGACTAATTTAGATATTGTACTTGTTTAATAATTACACTAATGGGAACTGAACAGAAATATATAGAGGGAAAAATTATGAGGAAATGGTATATTTTATATTCAAGTTGAATCATTTCTGTATTTTGTTAAATAATGTACTTTGTTATATCTAGTATTATAGGTAAGGTCCTGTGTTTTGCATATTTTTAAAAGAAAACATCATTGTACTTACCAGATTAAAAAAATTAGGTATCTAATCTTTTTTCGGATATAACATACTTATATCAGCCTGCCTATCTTGCTGATAATTTTTAGTAAATGGAATGAGCTTAAGTAAACTGTGGGGTTATATTATGGTATTCACAGCTGTAGAGAAACTGTTGGGGTAAAACTGACATTTAAAGTTTGGACATAACACATGAAAAAATTTGAGTGCTTTGAACATTTAAATCTTTATATTTATAAAATATTTTCTACTATACAATGTGGATATAACTGGTCAAGGAACTCATTAGTTGACAACTTCTAAACTGAATACTTATTGGCCAGGTGCAGTGGCTCATACCTGTAATCTCAGCACTTTAGGAGGCTGAGATGTGTGGATCATCCAAGCTCAGGAGTTTGAGACCAGCCTGGGCCACATGGTGAAACAACTCTACAAAAAAGAGTTGTTTATGATAAAAGTTAGCCAAGCATGGTGGCACATGCCTGTAGTCCCAGCTACTCAGGAGGCCGAGGCAGGAGAATGACTTGAGCCCAGGAGGCGGAGATTGCAGGGAGCCGAGATTGCAGGGAGTCTGGAGCAGACTGTAGTCCAGCCTGGCCGATAGACCAAGACTCTGTCTGATAATTTAAAAAACAATACTTATCAATTATGGATACAAGTTGTTGATATTTTAATTCAATCTTCAATTAAAGTTTTCCACTCATCCTTTTTCCAGGATTCCTCAACAATTAAAGTAGGCTACAGAAAAAAGTGACAGTTTACAACAATTTAATTCTTAATATTCTGAATTTAAAAAACATAGATGTAAATTGTATGCTAAGGATAATTGACAATTTTTAAAAATTATTTTATAATCTTATAGTAACAATCTACCAAATTTGTCATTTTATGTGGTAAGGTTCTATATAAGGTTTAGTGTGGTTTTTTTGTTGTTGTTGTTTTTACATTTGAAGATGATTTATAATAAAAGAGCACCAGCCAGCCAAGTTGAGTTCTGATCATGTTCTGCTACTTAATAGTGATTTTTGGTAAGCCTCTTTCACTTTTGACTTTTTTTTTTAAATTCTGGAAGTGCCTTATAGTTTACTGTGCATTTCATATCCCATGTCCTTTCAATATAACTGCAAAGAAGGGTATTTCTTCCTAACGAAAGTATTCTAGGGACTTTCTAAGTGCATCCTTTTAAATACATTACAGTTGAAATGCCAGGTGGGCAGAGCCAGTTTTTTGGTTTACAGCTTATGTTATTCAGTGTTTTTTGGATAGGAAATTAGATACCCAAGTATGTAGGTTTCTAGACTAGCTTCTTTAAAAGTTTGGACTTCTTAAATTTTATATAAACTTTTTGCCAGTTGATTAGTATATCAGTTTATCTGTGGCCAGTACTGTGTAAAATCCTGATTCCTCTGGAAGATTGCCATAGTGAGTGGTATGAAGCAGACAGAAAAAGCTTTAAGAATTGAGTGCAAATGTTAACTGACCAAAGATTATAAACCTAATTGTTTATATGGTTACTTAAATTAAATATAGAGTATAAAGGGAAGTGAACAAGTGGGTATTTTGGAACAGGAATCTCCAGTTAGCGTAACATGTTCAATTCCAGATGTAGGGTCAGAAAACAAGAACATGATTACAATACTTTCTACTTTAGAAATGTACCAGATGCGTTTTCCAAGCCCTCCCATCTCCCACTTCTTCCGATGTGGCCAGTTGTGTGGTTTTAGCTGGCCAATAGAGGAGTGCTTAGTATTTCCCTTCCAATTACATTTTTGTCGAGGGTAGGTTGGGCCTTCCATACATTTGGCTAATTAGACAACTGAGTGCAATTATTTTCTTCAGATGTTTTGTCTATATTTTACAAACTCTTTTTATACAGTTTAGTCACTAAATTAATAAATAAACAAACATTTGAGTGGGCTGTACCAGCAAGTTGCCGTGCATTCTTTGCGGCTGAAGACCCTGGGATCCTTCGTATGCTCCAATCTGATCCTCCCCCTCATCCGGGCAGCGTGCTAACAGCCAGTCTCTTAGGCTAGCAACATATGTCATCTCCTGCGGACAGCATGCTGGTGGAAAGCATATGGGTGCCCCTTAGGGAAGAGAAGCCAGTGTGGTTGCAGGAAGGTGGTGGAAGTCTACGTGACCGTCTCATGTTTTAGCGCCTGGAAAAAGTGCATTGTTTTAAGAATATTGTAGACATTTCCGTTGGGTAGCCAACCATGGCAACAAGAACTGTTTGCTAGTGGTTCTTAAACTTCGGAACTTCCAGAACAGCAAGGCATGTAGAGAATCTCTCTTGAGAAACTGCTAGGTGGTGTGAACACGTGTCCATTCCACATAGGTTGTGCAGAAGGAGAGTTAGTCATTAGAGTATTAACATTTATGAAACACCACAGCCCAGCTAGATTTAAAATTTTTAGAGTATTTGTGATTTTTGAAATAATAGATATAAGTTAATGCTTATTAAAAATTTGAAACTCCAGAGAAGTTGCTTTGATCTTTCTTGATGTTTCTATGAGTCTACAATTATTTTCTCTTCATTCAAACATGGGCTTAATAACTTTTTCTCCCACGTATTAATGGATTTTTAAAGGCAAGATCTGCTGTAGTATATTTAGTGAATACAATATATGGCTGTATCAGAATTCAACCAGCAACCTAATAATGGATATTTAAGTTAATTACACTTTTACATTATATAATAAGGCTATTCTTCCATTATTTCATTTCTTAAGGTAACTTGGTTATTTTTAAAATTTATTTTGTAAACAAGAATTAGAAATAAGTCTTGCTAGGAATTTGCAGGGAACCAGTTTGACAGGGGAAAGAACTTGTTTAGGAGTTAGGACTACTGTTAATCTTGTTTAATGACTTACTGGCTGTTTGATTTTTCCCAAATTACTCAAATTCTGTTTCCATTTAGCATCTATAAAATGAAGATAATTTTGTTAAGACAAAATGAGATAATTATGTGAAAATTATTAGTAAATTATTTTTTTAAAAATTCCAAGATGCAAAGTGATAACAATACTATCTTTACAAAAAATATGTATTTACAATGGTAGATAATGTTTGTAAATGTGAATTCCAGTTTTGCTCGGATCACTTGTATCAACCCTTTTAAATTCTCTGTAGAAGTACCGTAATCCCAAAATTACTCAAAACCTGTTTTACAAGTTATAAGTAAAATGTATAGAATGAATAAGTAAATGTACATAAATACTATTAAATAAATTTACAAGCACTATTTATAGAAGATTTTCATATGTTTTCTTAAATACTAAAGGAATAATTGTATGTCAGATATTCTGTAAATTATAACAGTAAAAGTAGACTTCATACTTGAACAAATTGGAAATATACATTGTAAAATTGCTTATTTTCCTACATATAAACTGTTAATCTACACATGACTGAATAGCAGATATAGTGAAAAGTGACTGAGGCAGTTTGATGTAGTATAAAAATACTAGTCTGTTGTCAGGGAGACCTGGGTCTAGTTTAAATCAACTAATCTTTGTGGAGCCACGTATTTGGGGCTAAGTACAGTGAGGGAATACTGCAGTAGTATTGTAATCAATACCATTATATTTGTGCAATGTTCTCAGTGTACTCATCTTGAAAGAGGCAGTGGAGCTGGATTCTGAAACATGGATAGGATTTGAACAGAGGCCCTGAAGAAGAATCAGTATGATATGGAAATAGGCATAGAGTGGGGTAGAACGTGTTTTTTGGTTAATAAATTCTTTTTGGCTGGAGCAGGAAATATATAATAGCCAACAACACTGGAAAGAAAAGTGATGGGGTCATCTTCTGGCAGTATAGGAGCTTGGATCAAGCTATAGTAAGCTGGTGAAGATTATGAATAATGATTGGAGTCATTTTTTTTTTTTTTTTTTTTGAGACAGAGTCTCATTCTGTCACCCAGGCTACAGTACGGTGGTGATTTCGGCTCACTGCAGCCTCTGCCTCCTGGGTTTAAGCGATTTTCCTGCCTCAACCTCTTGAGTAACTGGGATTACCAGTGTGCACCACCACCCCCAGCTAATGTATTTTTAGTAGAGACGGAGTTTCGCTGTATTGGCCAGGCTGGTCTCAAACTTCTGATCTCAGGTGATCTGCCTGCCTTGGCCTCCCAAAGTGCTGGGATTACAGGTGTGAGCCACTGCTGAGTCATGTTTTTAGGAAGGTATAGTGTTCATTACATTGTTAATTTTACCAGTATTACTTTATGTAAGTCATGTAGACTTTTGGGGCTCTTTGCATATTTAAATTCTTGTTTTCTAGTCTTAAGAATATTCTTGGAAACCGATGTCAGAAATACAGGTTCTTTTCTTTTTTGTTTGAGAAAATTGGTTATAAGAAAATGCCTTAAACAAATTAGATGCTGATTATTCTTCTTACATTTACTTGCAGCCTCTTTTAAACAGCAGATTTTTGTTTTATTTTATAGTAGGACTAAGTTATTCTTCAGCTTAACAAATATCCTTGATGGTATTAAATATTTTTGAATAAGAACTATAGAAATATTTCTTGCCATCTCAGGTTTATGGTACAAATTAGAAAGAAAGTTACAGATTTTTGAGGTTTCCTTGAAGCTCCAAAAGTCTATAATTCAGATTGTTTTCTGTGCCTTTGGTTTATTTAACTAGCTCGTCAAATCAATCTTTAAAATTATTTTTAAAATGAGTTTTAGCTAGTGTCTCAAGTTGTTTTTAGAAAGAAGAGGTAAGGATTGTTATTAGGTAGTTTCTGTACTTGAATACAGAATAATTACTGATAATGATTTCTTTACCTAAAATAGTTCTTTGGGACACAAATACTTCTTCAGGAATGGGTTTTTCCTGCTCCTTAAATTGGCTATCTATCTTTATTGCTATGTTTTTGTTGTTGTTGTTTATACAGGGTCTCATACTGTTACCCAGACTGAGTGCAGTGACACAATCACAGCTCACTGCAGCCCAGTCTCCCAGGCTCAAGCAATCCTCCCACTTCAGCCTCCTGAGTAGCTGGGACTACAGGTGCGCACCACCATGCCTGGCTAAATTTTAAAAATTTCTGTAGAGATAGGTTCTCACCATGTTGCCCAAGCTGGTCGTGAACTCCTAGACTCAAGTGATCTTCCCGTTTTGGCCTTCCAGAGTGTGGGGGTTATAGGGAGCCACTGCACCCAGCCCAGCCTATTGCTATGATTTGACTGTTAGATTTACTCAGGAGAATATTTGTGGTAATGTTTTAGAAAATCATAACTTGAACCAGGATTCAATTGAGCTAATACTGTTTCTTTTGTCTTTGAATAGTTGGAACTGATAATGGGAGAGAAGCAATTGAAAGTGGGGCTGCATTTCTCTTCATGACATTTCGTTTGAAGGACTCTATTGGTCACAAGGAAACAAAGGCTATCAAACAGATGTTTGGCCCCTTTCCTTCGTCATCTGCCACTGCAGCTTGTAATGCTACTAATCGAATTATTTCTCATTTTAGTCAAGATGATCTTACTGCTCTTGTGCAGATGACAGAGAAAGAACATGGCGATGGTTTTTTTTTTGGTAAAAATTTAGTATTTTCATTTGACATGCATGATTTGGACCACTTTGATGAACTGCCAGTAAATGGTGAAACTCCGAAAACTATAAGCCTAGATTATAAGAAGTTTCTGAATGAGCATCTCCAGGAGGCTTGCACCCCGGAACTCAAGCCTGTGGAAAAATCAAATGGCTCCTTTTTGTGGTGTGAAGTTGAAAAGTACTTAAATTCAACTTTGAAGGAAATGACTGAAGTGCCAAGAGTAGAAGATCTTTGCTGTACTTTATATGACATGCTTGCTTCTATTAAAAGTGGTGATGAACTTCAGGATGAGGTACAGTTGAAATTATTGTTTTTTCATATTAATGTTAACTATCTTAATGAAATAATGTTTTTAAACATGGTGGTTAGCAAACTACTATACTATTCTGTATAGTAGTTGAATATATAGACAAATGGTTTCACATAGCAGGCCTGTATATACTTTTCCACTGGATAGTTACAGGAGGTCTGAAAGTGTAGTGAGTGTAGCAGAGGAGTCAGTAGGCAATAGTTGGGTGTCCACATGTCCTATTTACTGGGACAGTACTTGTTTGAGATCAACTTAATTTTAATACTGGACAAATTGAATGAGTAACATATTTCATGAAGGATTAAGAGAAATGTCATACTGTTGTAGAAAAAACAGAGCCTTTGAAATCAAATCTTTGGGCTATCTCAAGGAGACAGAGAATTGTTAAAAGCATTGAACGTGATATATACAAAATCATAAGTAACAGTAAATAATCATTTTGTGGTAGTTGTGATTATTTTTGTTGTTATAATTGGAATTAAGAATTTGAAAATCACACTGAATATTCAGAAATACAGAAAAAAATAGTAGCTGTATTTTTCAAAGAAAAATTAATTTAGAGAATTAGTTAACTAGATAGTGGCGGACTTAATCCATGGTAGTGATAGGTGTTATGCTGGTTAACATTAGTTTGGAAGTAAGGTATTATATTGTTAATTCCGTGATCAATCTTACTTACCTTGAATGTTTTACTCTTGGTTTAATTTATATCAGATCTGTTCTACACTATTAAATTTTCTCTAACATTCTGAACATAATATTGTTTTAAAAATTGTAATTTATGAAGAAAATTTTACAATTTGCTAATCATAACTGAATACATAGCAGTTATCCTATTATGATTATAGTAAGCTGAAATTTATAAATAGCTAATGGATATTTTATTTTCTTAGTGAGTCATAAAACCATTACTTCTGAATATCTATAGTAAGTTTGTACTTCTTAGTTTTTCACCACAGTTTTAAGTATGTAACTGAATCATCTGATTGTTGGAAGGGTAATATTTTTTAGTTCTAGATTTTTTTCATAATAGATTCATTTGTCATGTATTTATTGTATGCTTAGTGTATTACTAGGTACAGTGCTATTTACTGAACATAAAAAGATCAATAAGATAGCAAACTTGTTCTCAAAATTAATTGTCTAGCAGGAGGAGACATGTC